TGATCTTCTGGTCTTTTGTCTCTTTTGAATAGTATGTAGATGGTCTTGATTATATTGCTAAATTCATGATTTCAGATGCAACACAAATGCTTCCAATTCAGTGCAAATGAATTTGCCAATCACCAGGATAGCCAGGAATTCTGGGAGTTGAAGTCCAACACATCTAGAAGGCACCAGGACAGGAGGTCAAAGTCTCTTCTATAGGAGCTTTCCCACATGGTGGGGCTACAGCATCCACTGAGAAACTGGTCAGAACGAATTGTTGGACTGCAGGATGTCCACAGCTGTCCCTCACTACATTTGCAGCTAGCATATTTGCTGTGCAGTATCACTCAGAAGGAGCAGCTTCACATGTCATTAATTAGAGCAAGCTGTGTAACAGCTTAACAGAAGCGTACATCTACCAAGAATATTAATACCAAGGAGATAGGACAAATGCATTGATAGATGTGCAAGATTTGAGTGACTCTTAATGCTGGAAATTAGAAATATATCTGTGGGCACGCACACAAATTACTTGTCATTCCTGCCTAGGCAGCATCCAAGCAGATTATGAGCTATAAATATAGGCAGAGAAAGTATCCAAAATTGTAACAGGGGATATCGACCCTTTTATTTGTTATTGAGCGAATACCCTGCCTGTTTATTCCAACTGGCTAAGACAGCTTACGATAAAAAATGGAGTATAAAACAACCAAATATATACAATTAAATTACATTAAAATCAAAACCAAAATTAAAGTCAGTCTTTCCGAAAATTAAAGAGTGAGAAGTTGGACCACAGAGCTGTTTTTGTGCATCTACCTAAATGTGGGGGAAGTTGGAGCCAAACACATCTCTTTAGGGAACAAATTCCTTTCCTGGATATCTGACAGTTTAGCTTCTGGCAGGAGGGGCTTCCTCGGAAGGCCCTTTCCTACTCACTTAAGCAACTGGACAAGTTCACAGTGGGACAGGCTGTTCCCCAGGTTATCAGGCCCTAAAATCGTTACTTTAAAGATCAGCACCAACACCTTAAGGATGCCCACTGGTATAGGAGCACATAAGACTCCGGAGTCCAAGTAAGTGATTATGGAAGATTGTTCACAGCTTGATTCTGATGTCAACATTGAGAGAACAGGAATTTTGAGATCAAGTAGGAAAATATACTGCTTTGTAGCAGATTTTTGCAGTTTGAAAGATTACTTTTTAGTCTGTTGTGGGCTGGGTTTGTATGAGGGCCAGGCTAAATGAGTGCTAAGTAGGCTGTTATTCAACACAGCTTAAAAACCAGCCATTGTCTTAGCATGTTGTATAAACTAGGCTACAGTGTTGAACTCTCATATTGTTTTGTTTGTTTGGGCATAGTATATTAAGTGAATGCAGCAAAAGTCATTTGTTCACCCCATTTAGATTCTGTGCAAACACAGCTCCAACCTCCTTCCTCTGAGCTGTCATCGCCATATGTCATGTTTTACTGTTTTGGCATATACGTTTATATTACATCGAGAGTTAAACAATGCCTTCACTAGGACTCTTCGAACAATGATTAAGGTTTGGAATTACACAGGCTTCAGTGGATGGCACTACTTGGAGTGGTTGGAGAAGAAAAAAACCATGCAATAAGGCTTCAGTATTACAGACTTTTGATTTTAGATCTAATCTCAACATGAAGATTGCAGATGGAGCAAATTAGTCTCCTCAGCCAACCGTTTCCTACCTTCTCACCCTGCAGATTCTGGACTGCAAATTTTTCAAAGCAGAAACTTTCTGAGGATTAAATCAGAAACCACGACAAGCTGCTTTTGAGCATCAAGTCTATTAGCACTGTCGCTGTCCCTCACAGGAGAAAAGCATTAACAATTGTTGGAGAACATGAGGACAATTTCTGTTTCCCCAAAGCACCAGGTGAGCTGCTGCATACACAAAACCAAACCAGCTGATTCAGCTCTAGAAGAGGAAATTACATAAGAAAAGCTGAATTGCTTGCTTGGTCAGAAGAAAATTACCATGTTTAGCTACTATTTCTTTCATTCCCCCATCTGCATCTGATTCAGTATCTCTTGTTGCACCCATTCTTCCTTCTTAAAGAATCAATACACATACTATCATAATGGATGTTAACAATATTACCCATCCCAAGCATCTCAAAGTTGGAGTCCATAAAGAGCTCTGGTGGGGAGTACTAGGCTTCCTGCCTCACTCAAGAAAGTTTCAGGATTTTTCAACACACACAGAGACACACAAACACGGACATCTCTATCACCTGGCCACGCTGAGGTGGATAGGAGTTAAAGTTTGTTATTTTCTCAGTGCTAGGTGTATTAGAATAATGTGAGAAAATACAATGATGTTGGTGCAGGAAAACAGGCTCCAGAGGAAGCAACCGCTTCCCCAAACACCATGTTCCGGTGAGGTGCAAAATACATCCTGTATTCCTGCACTTCCCAAATTAGGAAATTAAAAGGTTCTTGAAAAATTTTGGCAGGATTCCAGTTAAGAGAGGAAACCAAACATAACCCCACCAGAATGCTATTGTATGGTTTTCACAATACCTGTCCCCAGCATCAAAGCAGAAATTTATATAAAGAAGCTTTATTAGGTATATAGGAATGTGACTTTCATCATTCTCCCTTACAAAGAAATCTCTGAACCGGACAAATAATATAGAAGTTTCTGTACTTTAATCCAATACATTCTCAGGTATTTACATTCAAGTTTACATATGTACTTCAAGTTCCATATTGGAAGCCATCAGAAAATTTCAGCTTGCCCCTTCTTACACAAGGGTATGTTGGGTGAGGGAAGATGAACATCTGGAATGATCTGATGGATATTCTGTCAACGGCCCACCAGTTGAAACTGAACCAAGGAAACCATATTTAAATGAAAAAAAAATAGTGATTTCTCTCTCTGCTAGGTGACTTGCTGCTCTATAACCACCCAAAACATCTATAGCTGGATGCAAAGTTCTCCCCTGTCCATCCAAGTGCCTGTTTAGGGATGTAATGACTGTTAGCAATTTCTTAGATTTTTCTATCAAATCCGCCCAGAGGTACCTGAACATTCTAGTTTGATTTACCACAATCCCGATCTAAGTACCACGCTGAATGCTGCTAGCATTTACAATGTGACAAGCTCAGAAACCTTGATTTCCTCTTCCAATGCAGCTGGGATTTCAATGCCTTCAGAAATATTTCCCCCCCCCATCATGTTGTTCCAAAAGCAGGATATAGCAATTATATATGAATTGGCTATTTTATCATAATCAGTACTGCAATTTAATTTTTTTAAAAAAATGAATAGAAAAATAGTCCATAGCTCACCAATATGTAAACAAACATGCAGCAATATTCAGTCCAAAATGTTTGTTATTCTTGCTTATTCCAACAGCTAAGTTCGCTTTGCATGGTGCACATTTGGAAATATTAACACCATCTCTTCCTTTATGGAAAAGATAGATTTAGCCTTCCCAATTATTCCAGTTGCAATATAAATATCCCCCCTTCCTCATCAGAATTAGCAACATCTGCATCTCAAGAGTGCTTCTAAGACTGCGTCCTAAAATGCAGGGCAATATCCTGAGGAATCCTGAGGACAAATGGGTAGTCCAGTTCTTTCTTCAGACAGATGTTCTTTCATCTGGCCAGAGAATTAAGAGGTGGTTTCTTGGATCTTTTGAAATGGGAAAGACAATTTGAACTGTTTCAAAATGGAACTGTCCTTCATATACGGAGTGCAAGAAACAAAAACCTGGCCATCTGAGCCTCTGAAGACATTGTCACATGAATCAAGACACCTCAGTTCTTCACGTTGCTGTCTCTTTTGTGGAACCAGTAGCAGAAAACTGGGCAGGTACCCCATCTAATTCAGATTCACGAATAAAGATCACTGCATCCCCACTGACATTTATTAGACACTGTGCCTGCAGCAACAAAGAAGGGACATCCAGTTATACATCTGGTGGACTTTAAAACTGGCAAATTCTGATAACTTACAGAGACTTGCAAAATGTGGTGTGGTTTCTGCAACTTTACAAGTTCTTGTCTTTTTCTATGGCAAGATGTAAGACTGGGGAAAATACAGATGACAGCAACAGCACCACCTGGGACTCTATAGATAGTTAGAGCAGCTATCAGGATGAAGAGGCTTTAGGGCAGCCTTGCGCACTTTCCTGTCTTTATGATTTTAATGATTTTTTTACACAATTTATAAGCTGCCTTATTTATTTTTATTTATTTATTAAATTTCTCACCCGCCCATCTCCCCCCGATGGGGGAACTCTGGGCGACTCACAAAAAACATTATAAAAATAAAAATATATAAATACATAAAAAATAAATTA